TTTTTCTGATATACAGATTAATTCTCCACTAGAAGTCAGTGTCATAAAATCTTGGATCATTTTTCATTGGTGCTAAGATCTTTGAAACAAGTTTCTCTTTACTGTAGAATTTGCCATAGACTTTAGACATCAAATTTGCCAGAATATTGATCCTACAAAAATTTAATAGCTTAAACTTACTCTGAAAGAATTTATTAAATTTGCCTCTAGTCATATTCTTCTATAACTTATATTTTCTAATCAGCTTTCAGCATGTTCATCCTATCCCATTCTGAAAGATTGCTAAATTCTTGATCTCCTAAGATATCCGAATTCATTTGCTCAATCATTTCAGTTGAATAATTCTCTGAAGTATCTTACTAGAACTGCTATGATCCGCTCATTTCTTAAAAATGGCCAGTGTCAGATCTTTCCATTATATTAGACTGCTTAAATCGATTTGAAATTGGAAAATTAGAAAACTACGAAGGTTCTTAAAATCTTGCTTAATGATTGATATCTCAATGACTCTCATAATTAGCAAATTCGGTGCTGCTTTCATAAAACTCCCCTGAGCTAGACTATGGTTCTACTTAAATTTGGTTAGTATATCCTGGCTGGTACTGATCACTGTAACTTTATTCAAAATGAGCTTGTGATGTCTAATCTTCAGAATAATAGTCTTCATCTTGCTAATCGTTAGTGTAGTCTTCATTCTGATTCATTGCATTCATAGTATATTACTAATTTACAAGCTACCATGGTGGGATATAGTTGCGAAGATTGTAAAAGTGATGATTATTCATTAAGTTTATTTGTAAAAATTAATAATTATAAATCAAAAGCATTTCATAAGATATTCATCAAGTACTTGATTAAATCCTCACTTAAAATTTGCTTTAATTCAAGCAAATCTTTTAATATTTTGGGATCCGATTTCAAGTCTTAATTCTCTATGATATCATGTTTCCTTACTGATTTAGAAAGTTAATCAATAATCTCCTCTTTTGCATAACTTTTATTTTCTTTTGCCTTGAATGATGCAAAGACCTATTAAGCTTATATTTCTATTTATGAAGTATTTTAGATCTAATGACATATCTAATTAACGTAATCCCTATCAATCAACTTTTCATAATCTACTTCAATGAATTGTTTATTATATTCTTTTTTTTGTTGTAACTTTAATGCTGCTTAGTTGCAAATAAGCCATTCAATTACTCCTCTTACAAATATATTTCAAATTAATTTTAACTTATCAGTCTCTTCAGTACTTTTAAACAACTCTAAACTTATTTCATTGTCTAGTAACGCTATCCATTTTGTGTCATTTTAGCCATACCATTGCGAATTACTTCCAAAAGCTGCAATACTAAGAGCTACATCAATCCAAGATCTTTTCATATAAATAATCAAACACCTTGGCAATATCTTTAACAATTAGTCAGCTCTTATAATACTCTCTGGCATTTTTTCAAGATATATGGACTTGTCCTAGCATATATAATCAAGATACTGAAGATATACTTCAGATTTTTCTTTATCTAATGATATTTTAGCAGTATTTCTATTAGATTTGACACTCCAAATATCATAGCTATCTTAACCGAATGAATTTATGTATAACTCTCTTGGTTCATTGAGAGCAAGCATCTTGGCTTATGTTTAAGTATCAATATGTTTTGATAGCTATTCAAAAATAAATGATGTGCCAGACCTTCCACACCCTGTTATAAACACATGAAGTCTAGTTTAAAATATATCTGTCTTCAATGATAAACTCTCTTCGTCTTCTTTTTATATCTATTTGAACTTTTGAACTGTACCAGTTAATAAAAATCTCTAGAAATCATTTGGCAGGAAAAAATTAGCATTGTAGTTTAAGTAGGGAAATTAGCCACAAGGTATTGATTATATCACATTTTATGGATTTATAGGCTAGTTTTCTATGTTCTTCTTTACTATCTTTTAATGGTACTGTGATTGTTTACTCAATTATGATTAGATTAATGCCAAATTTGGATCATTACCACCAGACATTTAAGCCATCAAGCTCAGGATATCATTCATTTTTTAGTTTTTTTAGCAGTTTGCACATTTGCAATCAGATTTATGACTTTATTCCATTATTTTTCAATAATTAAATTATTACCATTTAGAAAATTCTATATAACTATGGTTCATGGGGTTTTGGGGTTTTGGGG